AACCAAACCCAAAGATTCCATCCTTGGCCACCAAGTAGAATGTAGGGTTAATTTAGGTTTCATTTGAAGTGCATTTGGATTGCATTACTTGGCCATGCACTCTCAAATGTAACCCTAAATGCATCCTCCCTTCTATAAATACCCTAGGCTAGCCTCCTTGTAGATACTTTGGAAATTATAATATTGAGTGAGCCTTTTGTGCCTTAATATTTTCCTTAGTCCCCTTGGCTATTTTCGGCCACCACCCTACCATCTCAACCTTGAGAGAAACAACCCTAGAAGTGGGCTTCATCACCATGAAGTGAGCCAACCCTAGAGTACCCTCCTCAAGCCTTTCATCAAACACCTTCTACCCAACCTCCAATTCGTCCATTCCATCATTATCCACCCTAAAACCATGCGTCACTTTTGAAGAACTTGGTCCAAGGAGTAAAGGTGTCCTTCCTTGATCATCATCTTACATCAATGCAAGCAAGGATTCCATCATGTGTTATCTAGAGCCAAAAGTTCTTCAAGGGTAATTTCTATTCTATTATCAATTTTGGTCATGTCTTTGTGTCTTCTTTGTTGAGATTGGGGGAGTTTGTTGAGATCACCTCTGGAGATTAAAGGTTTTGATGATAAAAAATGTGTGGAACAAAGCTGACCAAGGACATCAACAACTTAGAAGTCAAAAACAAAGTCAAAGAAAAATGTTATGTAATAGGAATAGCTTATAGATTGCTTTGTTGAGTTTATTTGGTTTGTGTGTGCTTTGTGCATAAGCTAATCTTTATCTAATCTGATTAAGGGAGTCTATGATGATGAGTTTAAAAGGTTAAGAAGTTATTTTGAGACTTAAAACACAGTTTTGAAACTAACTCAAAATAATCGATTATCATTAAATATAATTGATATTCCAGAAATAGGTAAAAAGGATACCTTGCTGCAATAATCGATTATTTGTGAAATAATCAATTATCCCAGAAATGACTCTCTAGAATAATAGATTATCTAGCAAAATAATCGATTAAATTGTTCTTGGTTGATTTCCAGAAATCATGAAGAACAAAATAATCGATTATTCTTTAAAATAATCGATTATCTGGGTTCTGAAAAACTTATAAATAGTTTGAAAATTTTGAAACTTAAGAACAAGATAGAATTGAGAATCAAAATTAGAAAAACGTGCTTGTGGAGTCTTTGTGACATTCTTGGAGAGTTTTCTTTGTGAAACCAAGAAGAAAAACGTTTTTGAAAAAACTTTGAGAAAAGATCATCTTCATCATCACATTCTTGAAAAGAGACAGATTAAGATTTGCTTCTAAATTCCAGGTGAATTCGTTCCTTAATTCTTTGTGAATATTTGTAAAATCTTGAGTAGGTTTCTCAAGTGGTAAGGAATTCTTGTAGTGGTTTTCTACAAGGGGTGCTTTCTTGAGGTCAAGAAAGTGGGTATCTTGAATGTAGGAGTGTATGAATGTGTGGTGTGCTTGTAAAACTTCTTCATTAAGATAGTGGAACAAATCTTGATCATATTATGATTGAGGACTGGATGTAGGTCACATGTGGAGTGGTTGAACCAGGATAAAAGATTTGTGCAATCTTCTTTTACCCTTATCTTTTATTTTGTGTAATATCTTGGTTGTATGTAAAGGAGATCATTCTTGATTAACATGTTTGCATGAGCATTATTAATCTGAACTGAATCAAAGTATTGCATATTGATTGTACGTAACTTTGAATCTCATTAACGATTAATCAAGAAAACATATAGGATTCATTCTTCAATAACAAGTCTTTAAGAAACTTCTTTGAAAATTCATTTTAGAAAAGTTTGAATTGAAATAAAGATCCTAAAACTCTGATAATTTTTTAAAGTGTCTTAGAATCCAATTCACACCCCTCTTGGATTGAGCCAATCTTTTCTAACATTCTTGATTGTCTAAAATGTTGTGCTAAAATGGATCATCATCTTGCCATATCTTCATGATCCATATTTCTTCTTTCATGTGTTGATTCATTCTACATTCATTCTTGTGAATCATCTTTGTGTTTTAGGCTTCTTTGCCTAAGTTTCTACCATTTTCTTTTTAAGTTTGAGTTGCTGGAAATTTTGGGCTGCATGTGAAACATTGATGAAATGATACCATCCGGTTTTTTCATTAACTTGTCTCTTTTGAACCCACCTTGAAAGAATTCCAAGTATTCATGCTTAAACATTGAAATGATCAAAAAAATGACATGCATGCCACTTGATTGATGAAATGGCCGTGAGTCTCTAGTGTGCTTTAGAGAGTCAATCATGCATGCTAATTAGTTCTAGCATGTTCTACATCACTTAAATATCATGTGTGATTAATTTCTTTGCACATACTTGCTTCTTAAAAAAATTGTTACTCAAAATCTCAAGTGTTTAATCCTACTTCTAGTGCACTAATTCTTGTGGATTCAAATTTAAAAAAAAAAAAAAAAGAGTAAAGAGACTGAAAACAGAGGAAAATACAGAGCCTAATGTTCAAAAGTTCAAAAGAAAAGTGTACAAAAAGAATCCAACACAAAACCTAAAAACTAGTGCACTAGTTTCATCATTTTTCACTTGATTTTTGATTAACTTGTAGTCTCGGTTTCTATAGCTTGGAATCTTGAAAATTTTGAAAACAAAAGTTGCATGGTCTTAATTTGAAATCATCCTTGAGTTAAGTTTTGAATTTAAAATTCAAAATTTGAATTCAAAACTTGGCGCCACATGTGAAGCCTCCACATTGGCGCCAAGTGTCCCTAATTCCGGATCCATTTAGGCTACCTCCTTCACACATTGTAATCACTTTTGATATCTGAAATTTGAGAGCAAATATTCTGCCGAGTTTCTTCCAAAAGTCACCAAGAGAGAGCCATCACTTTTTAGGAACCCTAGCTAGGTTTCCTACCTTTTGAAGTGAGCTTTCCTTTGTTCCTTAAGCTTGGATGCTTCCATCCATAGTCTAGGAACCCTAAGTCCGAAAATCTTCACTCCTTCAAGTGTCTTACATTCGGA